TCTTGTTTCTTAATGTGTCTAAAATTGCCAAGTATTCTTTTTTAATGAGAAAAACTTAAGCAAATTTTAAAAAATGAAGTCTACGTTGTTCTGACAGTGAGGTGAGGACATAAGAGACCCCAGATGGTGGCACAGCCCTGTCCCCTGCAGGAGCCTGTGGTGTCCAGGCGGCCTCGGGGCATCCCCAGGCCTCAGGCCTCGCACGAGGACGTTTTGGGTTCATCAGCGACACAATTAAACTCCACGAAGTCAATAAACCTCCTCTCCCGGGTCGGTGGCCCCTTGTGTCCTTGAAGCCAACACATCTCTCTCCAGGCGACCCACAGGGCCCCCTTCTGGCTCAGAAATTCTGTGAGCACATGCCTGAGGTCTGGGGGTGAAATTTCCATGTTGACCCCCAATCCCCCAAGTTTCTTATCACTATTTATCGTTATTATTTATTGAAAGTCCCCAGTGTTCAGGGAAGCTCTTTGTAAATGCCATGGACCCTGCTCAGATTATAAACATGCGGCTCTCTAATGATAACCCTCCTCCTATCCTCTTGGAGCTCAGAGGACACAAGCCCAGAGGGCTTGATTGACTTGTCCCGGGACACACAGCACCGAGGAGCTGGGTTCCCCTCAGGCAGGGGGGACTCCAAGGCCATTCCCTCCGGCCTGACCAGCACCCAGAGCAGGGCGGAAGGGGGATAGAGCAAGTCTATTTACACCAGAGGCAAAAAACCCACTTCCAGCCTGACCTTCAGGGGTCCCCAGAGGTCTGCCCCGGCCCGAGGTCACCACGCAGGCAGAAGCCTCGGTCAGCCGCCCGTCTGTGGGATCTGCTGAGCCATCAGGCCCAGGAGGAAGGCACCGACTGTCACTTGGTGTTTCTCTGCAGAGGTGAAGGTGTTGGGGCTGGGGGCTCCGACAAGCTCAGCATCCTCCGAGGCTGCCCGGGACTGCCCGGGGCCTCGGCGCCCAAGGGAGACGCAGGGGTCAACGGAGAGAGAGGTAGGTGCAGCGGGCCCGGGGTGGGGTGACGGGGGCCCTGCTCTTCTCCAGCTACACCCAGGGATGAGGCTCCTCCCACCCTCCGGATGGAGCTCAGGCCTGGCCCTGTGCACAGCCAGTGTCAGAGCCACGTGGCTCCTCTCTGGGTGGAGTGAGACCCTACGTGCAGGGGCTCGGGAGGACCCTATCCGGGGGCTGGGCACGGGGCCAATCTGGCTCGCCCCGCCCCTCCAGTGGGACCCCACTGCAGGAGAGCGTGGTCGGCTCCTGCGGGTACCAGGGGGACGGGGTCTCCCAGGATGTGCCCCGAGACCCAGGTCCCCGACTGGACGGCAGGCCTCTGCGCGGGCAGCACGGGCCTGGGCCCACCACACAGAGCTCAGCAGGGGCAGGAATCCACGCAGGCCTGGGGCCTGGGCTGCAGGTGACGGCCTGGTCCCCACCCTTGTGCCCGGGGCTGCTCCGTCCACCCGAGGCAGCGGTTCTGTGGAGAAGTGGCCCTGGGTGGGTCTCAGTACTTGGGGCAGAGAGCTCACATGCAATTGTGGCGGCAGCACCTTTGCCTGTGATGCCCGTGTCCTTGGAATTTGCAGGAGCACCTGGTTCCCCTGGAGTCCCTGGGAAGGCAGGACCAACGGGACCCAAACGTAACAACGTGAGGAAGAGCGAGGACTCCTCGGGGGACCCCGGACTCTGTCCCTAGAGAGATGAGAGAGGAACACAGAGATTCAGGGAGACAGGGAGACAGGGAGGCGGCCAGAGGGAGAGACGGGGTGGGACGGGAGGCAGACAGAGGGACGGGGGGGCAGCACCCATTTCCATTCCCAGGGAGCCTCGAGCTGGTGCATGAGCAGGGTCCTGATCCAGGGAACTTGGCCCACAGTGCCCTCTCCTTCCCCGGGGCAGGATCCCAGGCCTCGGGGTCCACTCCCCGGCTTGGAGACCCTGGCCTTTGAACCCTTGGAGACCCAGAGAGCAATGAGGGTGTCCTGCCCAGAGCAGGAGGCCTGGGGCTCGGCCCCCGCTGTGCTTCCCGCCGGCCCCTGAGGGCAGAGCAGCTGGGTGGTGTCCAGAGCGCTCACGCGGCCTCTCACCGACGACACTTCCCCGCATCGGGGGGCGCATCCTCCCGTCTCTTCTCCAGGAGACCGCGGGGAGAAAGGGGAGCTCGGCTCGTGGTCCTGGGGGCGCCTCGGCAGGCTTTGTCCACGTGGGGGTCCCACAGCCACAGTCAGCTGGCAGCTTCCCCTGGGGAGGGGCTCAGACCCACGTCCCTCTTCTGTCAGCGAAACGGTGCGAGGCGTGCAAGGTCTGGCTCAGGGCTCGGTTTGATGGCCCAGTCGGCGAGGGCCCGAGCCCAGCATCTGCCCGCGTTGGACCCAAGTGACGGTGAGACAACATTACTGCCGAATGGGGACGCTTCACGGACTTTCCCTCCTATCCATTCTCACTTCGTTACCAAATTGTAAGAGTCAGGGGAGCAATTCGCAAACTCTAAACACAGTCAGGAGCTCCGTGCACATACAAGAGCGCAGGAATGGGACGCACACCCGAATGCCCAGGGCCCCAGCGCTCTCCCCAGGCGGAGGCTGGGAGGGACAGCGGGTGGAGCTGACAGCGACCAGAGACCGGGACGAGTCCATACCCGCACCACTGAGGCCCGGGGGCCCTCAGGAGATGGCCGGCACCGGGTGCACACAGTGACCCTGAGTGACAGTGCTGCCCCACGGCCCCCAGCCCAGGCTGGACACGGGGGACCCAGCAGAGCCGCTTCCAGGCACGGGCAGTCTGGAACCCATCCCTGGGACTGGACGGTCTGCCCCGGACAGATCCCGATCCTATTTGCATTCTGTATGCCGGCCGCCGAGCACCTGTGGCTGAAGGGGACGGGGGCGCCCGTTTCCAGACCGTGATGGGTGCGTCCTCTCCCCACAAACAGGAGAGCCTGCGCATCAGTCCTGTGACGCAGGTGCCTGACCACGCCGCCGACCTCCCCACGCTTCCCGCCGCCCAGAGGCCAGCCCCACACTGCCCCAGCTTCCAGAATCCAAGGACCACACGCTCTTAGACACATTACCCTCCCTCGGCTACTCAGCAATGGGCAGCCAGCACCTGGCAATGTTCTCAAGAAGCTAAAATGTCCCCTGAAGGCCAGGGGTCCAGGGACTAAGGCGGGGCGGGCCTGGGAGGGGGGATGGCCATCACGGCCGTGCGACCCGCGGCTCGGGGTCTGTCCAGGCCCAGGGTCCCCCTCCATCCGTGTAGACGCCCCCCATCATCGCCCCGCCCAGGGCTCCCTGCCTGACATCAGCCTCCGGGTCGGTCCCCAACACCTGGGACCCTTAGGGAGCTGCTCACGAGGGGGCACTTTCTGAGCGGCGGGAACACCGTCCACCTGCCCGACCTCCGGCCCCTGAGCGTGCTGTGTGACAGGGACACAGACGGCGGGGGCTGGACCGTGAGTGTCGGCACCGGAGACCGCCCAGTGGAGCAACGGGGAGGGCGGGCTCTGCCTGGGGATCCCACAGAGCAGTTCGGCCGCCCGAGGGGGGACACTCTCGGGTGGCCTTTGTCAAATTGTCCACATCCCCCGTGAGGCTGACCCGACCCTCTGGCCCAGGCCGGGGCGAACCAGACACCTTGGTGGGGGGCGAACTCTACGGGAGGGAGTGCAGACTTTGGGGCGCGGCCCGACAGGAGCCCACACCTCCAGCTGTTTGGCTTAGGACGTGCCACCCACCCTCTCTGTTCCTCTAGTTTTCCCCTCCCTCGGACGTGGGTTCTGTACACCCCTGGGGTCTGAGATGAGCCCCACAGCCATGCCAGGCTCTCGGTCGGAGTGTTCCCTGAGCTACGAGGCCTCCTCCAAGGTAGTGGGGCCCCTGAGCCGTGGACCCCAGCAGGGCCCCGGTCCCCGAGCCCGCTCGCCTTCCCTAGGTTTTTCCAGCGAAGGAGCGACGGCTCCGTGGATTTCTTTCGAGACTGGGCCGTGTACAAGAAGGGCTTCGGCAGTCAGCTGGGGGAGTTCTAGCTGGGGAATGACAGCATCCACGCCCTCCCCGCCCAGGGTATGTCCCTGACCTCCACCTGCCCCGGACCTGAGCCTGGCCCCGCGGGGCTGAGGAACACACCCCTCCTCCTGCTGGGGTGCATCTGAGCGGGACCCATTAGTTCTGTGCCCCCCGCCCCATGCGTGGGAGCCCTGCCGTGGTCTCACACATCAGGTCGGGTCACGTAGGGACCAAGGTGAAGGACTCGGGCAAGCATGCACCCCAGCCTGCACGGTCTGGATGAGGGCAGGGTCTTTACCCTCGGGCTCGTCTGCCCAGAGCGTCACTTGTCGCTGTCCTGGGGAGGCCGCCAGGTGGGCCATCTCCCCTCCCTGCCCAGTCCGCCCTGGCCGACTCCTGAAACACCTGCTCCAGCGGGTACCCGACCTTCCCACATGCAGGGACGCCACCGCGGTTAGGGCACGGGTCTGCGAGTGATGTCACAGCCCGCCGGGAAAATGCACACCTGCATGTAGAGTAGCGTCGTGTTCCAGCAGATGAACAGGAAGAGGGGATTACAGGTGCAGTAGAAGGACTCTGGGGAAGTGGTGCTCAAGTCCTTCATATAACCAAGGACTTCTTCCATGATCGTGCAGACCTTCCCTGCCTGCCAAGTTCAGACAGTCCCTACACGCTTTCCTAAACTCCCACCTCCCGGCCCTGGAGACAGAGGGTCCCTCTGCTGGGACCTCACAGCCTTTCTGCCCCAGGAACCAACGAGCTCCGTGTAGACCTCGTGGACGTCGAGGGTAACCGCCGATTTGCCAAGTACAGCTCATTCCAGAGGGCGGGCGAGGCCGAGAAGTACAGGCTGGTCCCGGGAGCCTTCGCTGGGGGCGGCGCGGCTGAGTGTCCGCCCTGGGCCGAGGGGCCTGGGCTGCAGTGCAGAGGGGACCTGCTTCCCCTCCTGGCTCTGCCTCGTCTGTGGGGAGAGAGGTGGCGGCAGCCAGACGTGGCTCTCCATCCATCCCTAGGTGAAGGAAGTGTCACCCGCACCTCATGGTGCCAACAAAGTCCGTGTGACCCATTTAGTACAAAGTCCGGGAGAACTGGTATTCTTATTTACCGCCATTATTGACACCAACAGGGGCCCGCTGCTAATGTGGCCCATTTCTGTGGAGCTGAGTTCCTGCTTCATGGTGCCTGGCGCTGTCTGCTGAGCAACCTAGGAGTCCAGGGCCACGAGTGGCCTCCCTCCAAGTCAGGGTGCCTGCCAGCTGGCAGGGACAGAGGCGATGACGGATGCCGAGGCCACTGTACCAGAGAGCAAGTGTTCCCCGGCACCCCCTAGAGTTGTGCAGTACACGTCTTGCACCCCTGGACAGGACACGTTCCTGCCTAGACCTAGGATCCGAGTAAAACGGCCCACTCTCCCTCTGTGCAGGGGACTCCCTGTCAAACCCAACAACCTCGCCTTCTCCACCAAGGACCAGGACAACGACTCAAGTCTAGAAAACCGTGCTGAGCGCTGCGAGGGGGCCTGGTGCTATTATCGGTGTCCCCTGTCGAACCGCATCGGTCTCTACCTCCGGGGGGCTCACAAGACCTTTGCAAACGGCAGGAACCGGAAGTCGGGGAAAGGCTGCATCTACGAGGTGTCAGAGATGAAGGTGCGGCCCGTCTAGCGCAGGGCGGTCCACGCACACAGGGGCCGCAGCCAGGGCTGGTTGGTCGCTCCCAGGGGAGGGAGCCAGGGCTTGGGGCCCTCACCCTCTTCCCTCTGGGACCCTCTCTGCTTTGTGACGTTCACCCGCACTAACGCCCTGTCTCCCATCTGCGAGGGTGAGAGCAGGGACCCCGGGTCCTGGCAGCCACGCATTTTCTCAGTAGAGGCGTTTGCTTCCACGCTCGGCACACGTGGGCCCCCACCGCTTGCCTTTCCCCGACCGGCCGACCGCTGGTCACGCCGCCTCTGTTTGTTTGTTCGTGCCCCACCGTGGGCGCTGAGGGTGTTCCTGGGGCTTTCAGGTCCGGAGTCGGCCCACGTGCCCCGTTGCCGCTGTGCTCGGTGGTCGCGGTCGGTGGTCCCGTGGCCTTTATTCTGCTGACAGAGCAGAGTGGCGGAGACACAGACCATGGGACCACGACCACACGCCCTAAAATCTTCCCCAGGCAGCCCGTGAGAAAGTGTCCGCTGACCCAGGCTCAGAGGTGACCTGGCCCGTCCCAGGCCCCAGCCCCGGGCCCAGCTCTCCCCACTCGGCCTCACGGTCCCGCTCCCGGCTTCCCTGGTTCTCACTGAGACACCCTCCGACGTGGAGCAGGGCTGACCATAGGCCTGGCGGTCCCTGAGCAGGAACAAGCCGGAGGCGGAGTAAGGCAGCACGTGCGGGCGCTCTGAGCTGCCCAGGGGAGAGGCACTCCGCCCGGAGTGTCCAGCGCCAGGCCACCCCACACCTGGCCAGCCGGCCCCCGGGGCGGGGACAGGTGCCACGTGAGTGGGCAGGCCATCTGAGAGCCCTAAGAGGCATTAGCCCGGGAGCCAGTGTCTGCCGAGCAGGCTACCCAGCCCTCTCTCCCCACCCCGCCACCCTACACGCCCTGAGGGGACCGCATCCTCAGCCTGGGCAGTGGGTCCCCGCAATGGCTGGCACTTGGCCCTTCTTTGCTCCTCGGGTCCCCCTAGCCCCCTTGTGACCACTGTGGCTTTGTGGTCTCCTTGCAGAGAATCTGGGAGGGCCCAAGGGGGATCCCACCTTCCTTGCCTCCCAGGGTCCCCTCGGGGGGCGCTTAGCTGGTCTAAGAACCACACAGAGCTTGGAGCATGTGCGGTGCGTGCCGTGTCCGGGATCCTTCCGGGAACGCGGGCGTGTTTTCTCTCCTTTCTTGGAGGGAGCCGTGTCCTGAGGCTCACGAGCCTGTGCTTGGCCTGAGGCTCCCTGAGCCGCCCCTGCTCTGAGGGGAGCCAGTGCAGGACCCCACCCTCAGCCCCGACCCCAGGGAGGAAGGGCCGCGCCTCGACCCCACCCTGGGCGTGGGACAGTGGCCACGTGGGCCCCTGCTGGCCCCGGAGCACAGGATCTCACTGTGTCTGGACCTCGCAGCCCTGGAACCTGGGTCCTCCTGGGAATGACCTTCCTTCCAGAAGCCATGATTGCAAAGAGACAATCAAAACTTGAGAAGGCACTTAACCCCTCGAGCGCCACGTCATTATCGTGCAGGGCAAAAATAAGACTGTTAAACGCAGGAAACTTTCGAGCTGGCAAGCAAGAAATTCTTTGTAAGTTTTGTTCTAAAAATCCGTTTAATTGAGAGGTAGGTTAAGAGGTAAAAATAATTTTTGTAAATATTTAATTTGAGCCTTGCTGGACTTCATTTATAAGTGCTCTCTTGCTTTTAGGACTTGAGAAGATTTTTTAAAAAAAGGACTTGTAAAATTGCAAAGATATGTGAGAGCGGAAAGGGCTCGTGTAATTAACCTAATGGAATAGCAGATTTATTTGCATTATATACACGTGTGCATCGCAGACGTGTGTGGTTGCAGGGGCCGGGGATGGGCGGCGGGGCTTGGGAAGGTGTAACCAGCACGTGGCATCTGAAGGGCTATTCCGCCCAGGCCACCGTAGGACCAGCTGGGCCTGGGGGGCCCCTGGCGGCGGCAGGTGCCTGCAACGCCCCCCCTCCCCCGCTCCCCCCATGACGCCTGGTTCCTCTAGGTCACCCGAGCTGCTGCAGGGAGGCCAGCTGCCTCCCAGGACCAGGGGGCTGAGGCCAGCTTGGAGCCTGGGCCGAGGCCACGTGTGTCCCCTGGGCTGGGTTGTCCCCTGCCCTCCCTTGCTGCTCCTCCGAGGGTTCAGTTCTGCGGTGCGGCCAATGGAGCCGGGCCTGTGGGGTCGGTGCACACGCCCCTTAGATTCCCAACTGTGGTGGGACCTCTGTGGTCGCGGGAGGGCACGGGGTCCGGCCTGGGAAGCCTCGCTCTGGTGGGAGTGACCTCTGAAGACCCGGGGAGCAATGAGGCCGGCCCGCAAGGTCAGGACGGTGCACCCGGGAGTCCCAGCTGCAGGGGGCGGCCATGGTCCAGTCCAGGCGGAGGGGGGCTGTCCTGCGCGTCCACGGCCCCGGGAGGGAACAGTGCGGGACGTGCGCGCTTAGCCACGGGCTTCCTGCCCCTGAGTCTGCCCCTCGACGCCCCCTCCTCCCGGGTCCTCTCTCTCACACTTGAACCTCTTCTGGCTTCAGTCTGATTTCTGGTTTCGTCCACCCCGTGCCGTCCCTCGTGGCAGGAAGGCCCTTTCTCCCAGCCAGCATGGGTGGGCCTATGGAGCCTTCAGGAGCCCTCCATCCCCTGACCCAGTGGCTCTCGGAGCCTTGGGCTCAATTCTTGCTGTGGTCCGGCCCCCCACCCCCACCCCGTGTCTTGCCTTCCGGCCCAGCACGTGCTGGGAGCCCGGCCTGGGGCTCCGGCGGCTCCCTGCCCCGGTCGGTCATCAGCATGTGCTTGGGGGCCCATGTTGGCCACCCGGGGCTGCCTGAGCGCTGGGGCGTGGGACTCCCAAGGTCAGGGTCCCAGAGTGGAGCTGCCTCCCTCAAGAAGAAGCAAGTCTTTGTTTCCCGGGGAAGTGCCCCGGCTTTGTGTCCACACAGACCTGGGTCTGCCTGGGCTTTGCTGGGTGCAGGTGCTGTGACCTTGGGCCGGTCACTTGACCTCTCTGCGTTCTTTCTCATGCGCCTGGGGGGCGGACAGGGTGGCTCTGAGGACTCTGGAGTAAGGACGGTGGGCACAAAGCTTGGGGTCTGTGATAGACTGAGGGGTCAGTAATCGTGGTGTGGGCCTTGCCGGCTTCCCCCTGCACCCCGCCCCCAGCTCTAAGGAGCCGCCCTCCCCAGCCTGGCCGTGGGGCTCGGGTCCGGCCTCAGCTTCCACTCTGCAGTCACAACCTGGGAGGAGGAGCCCCTTGGCTTCTGGGTCACTGTTGTAAGCTGTGGCAGCCCCGGCCCCCCACCCGCAACTTCCCTGTGCCCCCTGCCCCCCCGGCTGCGGGCGGGCCATGGCTGTTCTGCTGGGGGTGTCGGGGGCTCTGCTGCGGG